CTGAAAGGTACCACATAGCCATTATGTTACTTTGAAGAAGGACAAAATACAGGTAGTATTTTTAGTAGTGTCTCAGAACACTACAAATTTGCACAGTGATGAAAAATCAGTTGATTTTCAAATGTTAATGCCTTACTTCTGATCAATAAATTATTCTAGAAAGCTGATCCATGATTTTCTCAAAGGTACTTACACTGGCTGTTCTATGACACAGTAGGGGATTTCTTGAAACACTTGAAGAAGGATAAAAATGTGCTCTACCTTGAGACTATATGGAGTTTTGAATCTAGTTCTGAAGTTCTGAATCCATTTCTGCCATGCGCTAGGTCCAGGTTTAACATAATGTAACTGGATTCCAGAGCAAATAGAAATCATATCTGGATCAGAGAGTCTTGTAATGTAACTGGATTCCAGAGCAAGAAATCATATCTGGATCAGAGAGTCTTCGGGCAGGAGCCTGGGGAGGTATTAGAGGGACATTACATTCCCTTTCCCTGTCCTGAAATCTTTGCTAAGCATCCATAGATCACCATTGTTGAGACAAGTCACTGAGCTAGCTAGAACCTATGGTTTGAATCATTCTGTTTTTATGCTAAATGAAGGTCTTCCTCCCACCTTTCTCACATTTATGCCAAATAAGTAGGCCACCACAGTACAAGAAAGAAGCCTGCATATGCAGCACCTCTCTTAGCTGCTGTAGTTTTCTCTGGACCAGGCATTTCCCACTTCTCATGCTCAAGGGTCACTTTCATTTCCAGCCTAGCACTGTGGAGGGCAGGTGAACACAGCCATATTTGAGCAGGCTGCTGGTGTCTTAAAGAAACTGCCCAGCCTTTCCTGGATCTCCTTACTTTATACGTGCAGCCTCTTGACTGTCTTGCATTGCCCAGGATTCCAGCCACCTGCTGATCATCCCATAAGATCTGACCATCCCCTAAGATCTGCTGCCTTTGTGAAGAGTGAGCATAGCATACTTAGTCTAGGCTTCTAGCCTTTCCCTCTTAAAACCTTCTTTGTTTTTGCCATGAAATCTTTATTTTGTCTCATTTGGTCATATTCTCTCTCTTTAACACGCAGCAAGAGTTTTCCTTCTTCAATATTGAATTCCATCTTTTAAACTTTGACTTTATGCATTTAGTAAAATCCGCTTTCCTGTGTGCCATAACTTCCTAGAACTGTGTGCCAGAACTTCCTTCTTTCTGACAGTGTCTACCCTTGCAGGTGCTTTTCAGACATTTCTCCAATGTACATTTCATGTCCCTGCTTGGTTCAATCTACTAAACCAGCTCCAAGATCTCAGGCAGTCTCTCTCCTATCAATACTCACTCTATACTTTCCTCTTTTTAGACTGGGGTTATTTTGTGTTGAACAAGCTCAGACATTATTTCCACCCTATCTGACCTGGTCATCTCTCTATTGCACCATCACCAGAGTTCAGAGGCTGGTACTTGGCAGTTTCCTTGTTTGGGGGGCAAGGACAAAGATGAAGAGGATATGCACAAGAAAGGGTGGCATATTAAGTCCCCTACGGCAGGAGAGGGCCACTTGCTTGGCACAGCATATATTATTAGCTTCACTTTGAGGCAATTATCACTGGCAGAACCAGTCATTAGAAAAGACAATACTCTGTTCTCTGATCCTGTTCCACAAAGCACTCAAAGCTTTCTAAGCATGTGTCACTTGTAACAGGTCACAGGCTTGATGATTAGCTAGTAATACGAGGCTCAGAAGATGGCTTGCTGTTTACCTCTGCCCCAAACTCAAGATTGAAGCTCTCAGCCCTAGGAACCAGAGGGACAATGAAAGGGTAAAAACAAGAGCAGAGAAAGGGAAAGACACTAAAAAGTTTGTGTACATCTATTTTACTTGTATATAATTTGGGCTATAAGTACTACTATCATTGTAACAACTAAACAAGAATATAATTCCATCATCTGCGCCAGGAATAACCTTTTCATTACTCTATTAATATTTTAATTAGGCTGATAAAAAATTCTTCTTGCATTTCCTTGCCAGTAACAAGATTTTGAGCGTGACAAATTGGCAGGAATTCAAACAACCTACTCTGTAACTTGGATGTAGCAAACTGGTAACACACAACACATGCCTTCAGGAACACGCAAACTTCTGTTTGTACTTGGCTTCTTTGAGTTGCAAGAGTGCAGATCTGTGGAGGAAAGGATTTGATTTGGGACTTTTTTTTCTCCCATCCCCATCCCAGGGGTTGGAGGCAGGACAATGTTTGGGGTAAGGGCATAAATTCATCCCACTCAAAAGAAATCCTCATCTGAAGATTGTAAACTTCAAGCTGGCTCTCTTCAGGTTGAAAAATCCTTCAGATTTGGGTTTCCCAGTCTTACCTTATTGACCGAAAGCTTTCTATAGTCCTATCAGAACATCCATAGCATGCTCAGCCAGACTTTACTCCTGTTTCACACAGCAGATCATGCACATTCAACCACCAATGAGTGGTTGAGATCCTAGAGACTATCCTTCTTTAGTCCTTAGGTTCCTGCAAGCAGCTGCCCGTGTGGAGCAAGCTCAAAGATGATGCTGAGAGCTGTTGACATTCCTGGTTTGTATTCCCAGGCCTCCTTCACAGTCATCACTGAACTTCCCTTTGCTGCAACCTACCCCTCTGTAAACTATGTACAAAAATACTTTCTGTCTCTCAGGGAGCACTGTTCAGTTTAATAACTGTTTGTTAAATGCTTTGAAATACTTAGCTGAGAGGAGTACATTTTTGAAGCAGGATGCAGGTAAGGTCTCACAAGGAACATACTGGTCATTTAATGGGCTCCAACATGTTAAAGCAATTCCCAGGGGAATCTGTGGATTTTCTCCTCTGGCACTGGTATGTGCTCTGGAAATTGCCACTTTTTCCGGTGTATTAGGTAGTAAATTGTTAAAACAGAAAGAAAAACAAAGGCTAAAATAATTGAACTGAAAACAGAAATATTTTTATTCTTATTTTTAATAGAGATTGTGTCATCTCCCCATCACCCAAAAGTCAACTTTATCAGCTGGGCTCAGAAACAAAATTTTTAATGTGCTCTTCCAATAAGAGATGCAGGAACTACTGTCTACAGTGCTACCATGCAGTAGTGATTGATCAAACACAGACTACAAGCTATAAGTGCAACCAGATAAGCTTTATTTCAAATTCCTATTACACTGTAGCTACTAAAAATCCAGAATGGAAAGCAGGTTTATATGCAAGAGCAAAATATGGATAATCTTACTAGATGATACAGACTTCAGTAGAACTGCATAAGCACTTAACAGAGATTTTCATTGTGCAGCACAGGCTGTTCAGTACCCTGTTCTCAGAGGACTTTGTGAGACTTTATTATTACCATTTCTAATAGGTCACATAAGCTGTATGAAACCAGTGTGTGTCCATGCCTGAAGTAAAAGACCCACAGAAAAACTGCCTGATATTCTTGGCTCCAGGATTACTCATTCAGACTGGGAGGAGATGCAAATCTCTATTCCACATACTTGAGCTAAAGAGCAGCCTGCATTTCTCCCCATTCTTAGCTTATTACACAATTGGCTGTAGGCTATTCAGGAGGCAGTTCACAGCAAAAACGGGAGCAGAAGACAAGCCATCACCCTTGCTCTCACAGTAAAAAGACCACAGAATGACTTGGCTGTGTGCTGCACAGTAAAGTCGCAGCATTTAATGAGCATGAGGCTCTTTTCAGCTTCTTTGGAAGCACAGTTATCTCACCTGTGCTGTTTGTTACTGTGAGATATGCTCTCACACACCATGGCTGGTGGGCCATCACTGCAGCTGGACATGTGAATGTCACACATGCATCTTTACCTCATGTAGAAAAAGACCCTGGGAAGAATGTTAGGAGAGATGAAAAATGCCCCAGGTAAGTGGGTGCATGCCTCAGGAGAGTGGAGGAACCTATCTGGAGAACTAATAGAAACCTTTCCAGAACACCCCTGGGCCAAACAAGGCCTTGGGTAGACCTTTGCATCTTACAGAAAAATATGCTCCACACGAGACAGGAAGCAGATCCAGCTTGCGGAGTTTCTGATTCTCAGGGTACATGTTTTTATCCCTACCCAGTTGAGCTTCTGTCCTTCTGACAGTTGTTCACATATACCACAACCTGATTTTGCAGTAGCCGTGATTCCAGGGGCACTTTCTGAGGTGGTTAAATCTAGTTTTAACCCCTAAATGGGAGCACCACTGCAGGATATTTGTTAAGGTTGTGGAACAGGGAGCAGAAGAACCCCACTAACCTCCAGCCCACAACAGACTGTGACCAGAAAATGCAAGTTTGGTGCCCTCTGAGCAGGGGCATGATAAACTCTAGAGTTTTATAAAGAAAAAGAGAGGAACAGCATATTAACTGCATCATATATGGTGGGATGAAGGCATGAAATAAAGGAGTATGTGTGGGTGCAGACAGACATGAAAGAGCAAGAGAGAAAACATATTGAAGTGGCAAGTGGGAACAGAGAGCTGGGAATATTCTGGTGATAACAAATCTTGAGAGATGCTTACAGTAAAGTGAGCTCTCTATGAACTGAAAAATTCTAACATTGTAAGATAAAGCAGTCCCTTAAGCTAGAAATACCTGTTTTTAATTGCAGCCTGAACGATCTACCGTAAGGTTGTATAATTCACTCTGAGAATTTATAACACTGGTTTCTTCTTCTTTTTTTTTTACTTTTCAGTAAAATATCAGACCTTAATTAAAACTAAAGTTCAGACTACTTTAGTGAACAGAGCCTTTCATATTCTCTCATCACTAGTGCAAAGGGCCATAAATACAAATGAACTGTAGGAATAACATGACCTAGAATTGCCTTTAATTACTTGTATCTAATTTTGAATCGTTCACAATCCAGATGCATTTTCCAACTCTTCCCAGCGTTTTCAGTTAGTTTTCTTTATCACATTTTATTAGGCATGAGGATAGTCAAAATAATGAAATTTCTACATCTCTCTCTCTTTTTCTCTATCTAAAATGATATTTTGAAACACAGCTAATTAAAGAACGAATTCAGCTCTTTGTTCATAGTTTCTGAATCTGGACATTTAGCTCACCATACACATGCCTCAAAGCATCACAATTCAGGCTTGCAATCAACTTCCGTAACCCTGGCCGTTTTGGGGTGCATTTTACTTCCCAGGTCAGAGTAGAATTTGCTGGGATTTGCCTGCAGGGAAAAATGAAAGTAACAATATTATTATCAATCAACCAGTGTTATCGGCCTGGCCCAGAACTGGAGAAACTGAAGATGGACAGTATAACACATCTCTCTCTTTCTCTCTCTCTCTTTTTTTAATATTTCAGTCATCCGGGTAAGTGTACTATAAATTATTCCCTCCATCCTCCAGTCCTTGCAAAACTGACTCTGTCAAAGGCTTTTCTAGACTTTCCTCCAGGCTAATTTTAAATTTCTAAAATGAATCTGCTGCCTGTCACTTCCTCTCACTATCACTTTCAAGATGATCTTTATGGATAACATATCTTTTTGCTTTTTAATTCCATTTTACCAGTGTATTATCCCATAGCTTGCTGGTGATTCCCTAAATGGTTAAGCAAGTCCTTACTCAGAAGTGCCAGCCAGGGCCAGTACTGTTGAGGAACAGAGCCCCTCTGCCCCCTTCTACCCTAAGCCACCCTGCCACAATTGTAATACCAGGACATCTCCTCACTGACCGCTTCAGAGTTTAGTTTCTCATGCCCATGCAAATGAGCCAAAGTATTTTTGGGAGTACTGTTATTAGCAGTTACTTTTTTACATAATCTGTGATCCTTGATAACACATAGTATAAACTGCACTGCTCATGATTTTCTAATTTTGCTATAATTAAAATACACAGAGACCCTCAAGTATTTGGTTTCTGTGTTTTCTCAGTGCTTTCATTACCTTTTGTGTGCAGATTTTGAAGACTGATATTGATTGATTGATCACATTTGGGGCATGTCAGGAAGGGAACCAACAGAGGAGGCAGCACAGTGAGGAGCATTCATAAATAAAAATGAATGTTCTTTAAGAGAAGAATCTCTTCCCTCACTCCTTAAGAGAATTATGAAGTGTTTTTGTCAGTATCACATGGTTATGGTAATCTTCAAACACCTGAATATTTGGTGAGCAAAGGTACTATAAACTTTAGTTACTATTGCCAGTTCTCATCTGATAGGATTTGGCTCTCAGATGTCATGTCCTCCACTAGGGTCAAGACAGAAACAAATGCCCAGGCTTAGCACAATTTGCCACAAGACAGAGAAATTTTCATTAGCTAGAAATTATCCAGTTTAGGTTCCTCCCATCTGCGTAATTGTTTTAATGCAAGTCTGGCCAGACTGATTTAACCTGCTAAAAGGAGCAACATTCTAGCTCCTTAGCGCCCATCTTAGGTATCTCTGTATAGCACTGCACTGTGTTTTGCATATGCAGCCACAAGTACCCTGGGGCTTCTACCTTGTTTTAGAAAAGAACAAGAGGAGACTCAGACTTTTAGCATGAGTGTATGCAAACTGTTTCCAGCAAGTGCCCTCTTCTTTTTATCTTTGTTCTTAATGAGAGATATGCTGTTCCCCTCAGCTGGCCTGCATGATCAAATGTCCACTAAAATGGTAGCATGATAAAGCAATGACTTCAATTGCTGCACAATGTTAAATACTTTTTTAGATTTAGAGTTTATGGGAATGATCTGCAAGGGATGATCTGTATGGAGAGTGAGGAAGATATTGTATGTCTCCTGTGCAGCGATGTTTACATTTTGAAGCATCTGGGGACTGATTCCCTAGGAATGAAGGTTTGTGGACTTCATACTCATAGTGTCCCAAGGTAACAAAGAGCAGTGTATTTATTTCTCTTTTCCAGATGGGATGTATGTACATGTAGAAAGATAAAGAGCTGTGTTAAAACCCACCTTTTCCTATTTCTCTCCTGTCCTACTGCTATTCCTAGCTGGAAATGCAGGAACAGCCAAAATGACTTATCTGCTAGTGTGAGAGCATGCTTGGCTAAAATCCTTTTAATGATATCTATCACTGCCTGGTTAATTGTCATGTGCCATGCAAAGACTATTATCTGGATAGGGATTAAGGCTGCCAAAAGCTTTTTCATAAGTCATGCTCTTTATCTATCTCAAGCTAATGACTAAATATTACCATAGAGCTCTTATGAATGGTCAAGGCAGAAACCTCCAAATCACTTAATTCCCAGAATAATATTGTAGCTGCTGGATCACTCATGCCTGTTTTGTGGAGTCATGCATGCGAAGCTGAAAAACTGCCTTAAAGATACAGGTAATTCTGAAGTCTCATCCCCCAAAACAATTGTAGAAGACACATCCCATGTGTGAGAGTTCCCAATGTATAGGGAAGCAATGGAAGGAGGAGAAAGCCTAGAATAGGTTTAACTCTTTTTGCAAATGGAGTAAAGCCACCTTAATCTGATTTGCCTGGGAGAAAATTTAGTGATGAATGGCTCTGCGTAATATGCTGAGCCATCAGCACAGAGAAGCCATTTATCACTCTGAATTCACAGAGGCAAATGTGATTTTTATTTAAATAAACTACAGCTGCCCCCTGCTCTGTCCTCTGTAAGTATAACCTGCGGCCTTCATTCTTCTCAGGGAAGTTAAGTCAAAAAGCTTAAAATGACTAAGCTGATCCATTTCCATTTTAAATCACACCAAGGGCACTACTGTGAAGGGAGAAACATGGTGACTTGAAGGAAAGTGACGTCCGCTCCATGAGTCATGTTTCTCTGTAGCTCCTATGCCTTTGATGCACCTGACAGCTCCTGCTCCCTTGAAGGAGAGAGGAATCGACAGCAGCTTTTGGAACAAGGAGGCTGCAGAACACCAAGGGAGTCTGGCAGGGCTGCACAGCACAGAGGCCTTTCACTGACACTTGTGTGGGGAGTGTGGATCTTGCTGAGTCATGTGCAGCAGCATCTGTGACAGGTCACATGCACAAAGCAAATGTGGTGTGATGCCCTTTCGCAGTCATTTTGCTATCTGGCTCCAATCTGGAGCCTTTTTTTTTTTTTTTCCTCCCTCCTCCAGAGTCCCTCTTTTTTTTTCCCCTGGCCCAGGTGCAGTCAGACTCAGACTCTCCTTACTGGCTGACAGTTTATGCAGCTACTGAAACACAGGCAATTTTTCAGACTTCTTTTGCACACACCTGGGAACCATCAGCAACAGTAATGATAGATAACATCACATCAGCTGCCCAAGGCTCAGCAACAGCTGCAAAATCTTCTAGGATCCCAGCTATACATCCAGGAACTAACTGGCTAATACCAAGCTCTGTGCAAGTGCTGGAATAGCAACAGCCTCATCAATACATGTCTACATCAACTAAACCTTGGGAGTCTCTATTACAAGTTCTTCTCACAGCAGTGACTGTCCTATCCAGCTTACCACATATAACCTGAACTCTAAATGGAAACAGAGTCTAAAAAAGTAAGCACTTATCACACAGATACCCCTATGCCAGCACTGAGTGCAATTCCTAGAACAGCGAAGACCAATGAAAGGCTTTCCTTTGCCTCGGGAATGGGATCAACTTGTTCCCTACATGCTCCTCTGTATCCGGGCAGCCCTGGGAAGCGGCACTACCAGAGGGAGCTCTGGGCTTTCACATCACTGCATCAGACACTCAAAGAGACAGACTATCTAAGCCCCGAATAACTTTGTGTCTTGGTATAAAGTTGCAAGGCTCACCTGAGGTATCTGAATGTATTGCATAGTCATGATTAACAGGAGTGGATAAAATCCCTTCTAGAAAAGCTGCAAGGGACTTAATATGCATGTAATAAGCACATGCCAGCAACCAGTTCATGTGCAGGATAAATCTATTTTCTTTCTATGATAGCAGTTCATAAGTGCTATTGTCAAGCAGTAAAAATGATGTAATGCTGTGAAAAAGAAAATTCCAGTTGTGTTAGCAGCTACTCGCGACCACTGCCCCTTTCTCCAACACCAATACTGAATGGATGAAATGCGCTCTCAGTCCCCCTTTGCATTGCGAGGGGCAGTCTGACTCCTTCAGTCTGTTGAGACCTATAGTTTCTACATGTATTGAATCTTAAAGTCAGGAGAGAGTGTCTGAATTATTCAGCATTGCATTAGTTAAGTGTCTTTCATCAGCTGCCCTCTGTGATCAAGAAGGGGCTGACCTCTTGGTTAGTTCTGCTTCCTTTCCTACCTGAAATCCTTTTTCATCGTTCTCAGCACGCCGGGTCCCTCAAGGCGGAGCGTGACATTCTCCAGGGTTTGAGTCAGAGGATTGGTGAATTCCACAATCACAAACATTTCCCTACCAGCTACCGTCTCGCCTTGAGTCTGCAAAGCAAAGAAAAGGACAAAGATTCACCACCTGAAAATAATAAAATGGCCAACAGTGAAATCTGCGGGATTAAATTTGAAAGGAAGGAGAGGGAAGGAGAAGGACTGGAGCGTATAACAAAACAACACAGGGCAGGGAAAGTCTTGTCAGAATAAAGTTGTTAGATGCCCACGGACTTTGCTTCTGCCATTTTTCCTGTCCGCACAGTTCTCTCAAGCTGTGTGGCACATTATGAGGCAGGCCCTCATTTCCATAGAAAAAAAATGGAAATCTGCCTGCACAATCCTGGAGCTGAGTGCCCAGCTAAGGGAGAGACCAGCTTTAGGGTTTTTTTCCCCCCGATTCATTCCCCCTTTCCAGGCACTGAAGTGCATGGCCTGTTCAGGATGCGGAGTTCCCCAAGAGCGGGCTGCTTCTTAACTCCAAAATAGAAACCCTGGGTTGTGCTGCTTGCACCTCTCAGAGGTGCTGGGCCTGTCTTCCCACCACGCTGTGATTGTCTTTCATGCTCCAAAGGGATTATGTGTGTCAGGTAAACCTGATAGCCAGTTGTCCTCCACAAATATCCTGAATCCCCACCTATGCAACTGAGAGCATGATCTGTGTTCTTTATAACATGGTCTCGGGTTACATTAGAAGAAGATGTAATTTTCTTGAGTGTTAACTCTGATGATCTTAGACCAACAGAGAAATACCAAAGGAGTATCCAAAGACATGAGAGGAAATACATTTTCATTCTTCCACCTCACTTTCAGATTAAGAACTCCATTGAGTTCAGAGAAGTCTGACAAGAAAAGAAAAGAAATAAGCTTTCCCAGATTTCAAAGAGAACAATGAAGGTGAGTTCCCTATATAAACACACATATATATACCTGAACACACACACACTTGCTTAAAAATGCAACTATTAAAATTTTAGGTCATTTTTACACATCACAAAGAAGCAGAAAAGACATAAACTCAATTCTAGTAGAAGACATGGTTATTGGACAACAATCTCTCCTATGCACTAAGACTCTTCTTCATAACAGCAGGGAGGATAACCTATTTTGAAGCTGAAATTGGGGATTTTGTATAAGATGTTATATTAAACTATTGAAAGAACTCTATATTTAAAAAAATGTTTATTGAAGATGACTGTTTGAAGTAGAGTTTATTTATCCTGTTCTCTTCTCCTCCTCCTCCTGCTATGCTCTCTAGAAAGCTCAGGAAACATGAAAACTTATTTGAAAATGCCAATAATCTGATTAGACCATGGTGACACTTCTGTAGTCCAAGAAATGCAGTGAATTTTTTTGCAAGCTTCATGGTAGTTATGATCTACACTTAAAAAAACCTTTTTCTATCAAAATTTGCTATTTTAGATCACTACCAATGCTACGATATGGAAACCTGAGCATTGGTTCAAATAAGTATATGGAGGAAGATCTGTAAGATCCTGAATTTTAGGACACTTCATTTATAATTATATAAAGCTTTCTTAAACAAGTGTTCTTGTTTTTCTTTCAGCGTTTTGAAAAAAGCAGATCCAAGTGACATCATTCAAAGCAGACAAAGGCTCAGCACTTCTAAAAGTGAGGCATTTTATTCGGATGTCCAAGTCTTAGCGCTGAATTTTTAAACTCTTTGCCATACAACACAGGGCCTTTGTCCTATCAGGTTCACTACACTGTCACATTTTCACAGTTATGATGCCACCGCTCACAAACCTTCTTGGACCTTCATGAAAGTCCATTGAAAGCACATTCACTGAGGAGCAGCAAAGCAGCATCCTTAAAGCATCATCCCAGACAGATGTTGCTTGTCCAGGTCTGGAGGTATTTTTCACAAAGCCTGTAGAAGCTTTCAAGGCAAAACCACCATAAGAGTAGTGTCTTCATTTTTCAGCAAGAAGTCTCTGCACTGTAGTGCTTTAAATAAAACAGACTTTTTAAGTAGTCAAAAACCTAAGTGATATTATTTCTTTTACCCTGTAAGTTTCTCCAGCTTTCTCAAACCTTTCCACCTCCTTCTTGATAGAGATCATTTAGGTCACTACTACAGGTGATGCCCTCAGTCTCAGTCTTTTAATACAGGGATACTCAGTACAATATATATAATACATACACACCCTCACACACTTCAGCTGGTCACTGCTTATAAGTTCCATATTAGACGGAAGGTCTAACACATACATGCACACCAGTCCTAGAAGTCAACACGGCAGCCTGATAGAGGCCAGTCTGCACATAGCATGGCCGGGTTCCCTCAACTATGTCCCCAAAGTACCTTGATATGCAGCATGGGAATTTCTAGTACTGTAGCTTTCTGCACAGCCAGAATCTTTCCAGTTTCGTTGATCCGCGCCGTGACAAAGAAATGAAAGGAGGCTTGGTCCAGCAGTTCACCCAGGTACTCACTTGATTTGATCAGAACATCATAAGTACTAGCTGATGGGAGAAACAAACAAAAAAAAGTGTTTGAAGCAATCTAAAGGCTAATTATTGCTTCCCTCATGACTACCTCTGCAGGCAGCAGTTACATGACTGACCTGAGAAAGGTGCCCATGCACCAAAGGATGACTTTTCCAAAATACCTTTTTTATTTCACCTTACAGTCTCACCTCACCTCACCCCTTTCTCTGGGGCAAGGGCTGTGTCTGTGTGTATCCTCTGTCCTGGTGGCCTGTCATGGTGGCCCGAGGTTGTTATTTAAAGTTTCTAGGCACTATCACAAAATAAGTAAGGATGGCAATAAATAGCTATTGTGCGTGAGTGTCCAATCCAGCCTTTCAGTATCTTACTTGTAAATATTTGCTCATTTACATCCCTGCAGAGAGATGCCATTAGGGATGCTGCGGAAGGAGCCCTTTCAGGGTGTTGAATCCATGCTGACTGTCTGGAAGGGCAGGGCTTACACTGCTGGGTATCCCCTCTGCCCTACTTCCTCCAAAATTTAGCAAGCAGATTCTCCTGTCTCCAGCATGCCCTTGAGAGAGCTTTCATGTGGTCCCTGATGATAATTATTGGAGGAACAAGTCCCCCTTGGCTAGATTGTAGAGATGCAAGGAATCATTAATTTTAACCATATTGAACTGCAATTCCCAGCACAACAATGGTGTTGAAATGTGATGTGCAGAGGCAGACTTGCTAAGTGACCAGGAAGAGCATATAGATCTGAAGCTCCTGCCTCAATAAACATTCATTATAACCCTAGTAAACATATCAGGATCTCCCATCTGTTAACTACGATTATTGCTATTATCCATTATTTGTATTGTATTTGTGATACACACTGTACACACTTAGATAATTGGACTCAATCGAGTAATCCCATTCACCCCTTTTCACTCTTTCGACCCACTCACATTTAAATCATTCCCTTGATTTGGTTTCAAAGCCATTCCCTTAGTGATCACCTGACCTGGATTTACCAGGTCAGTCTTAAATTTATGTAATATGCTTCCCTTCCCCTCAGTCTGTATCTCTTGTAAGAAAACTTCCCATAATGCTCCAAATCATAAATTATAATTGAGGCAAGGTATTCTTCATCTGTGCAAAGTAAATAAATAAAAAAAATAGTTGCATTCTATGTGAATTTTACCTAACAGTGGAAGGAAAGAAGAACTTTTCTGTTTAAATTAATCACTACAGAATATATATAAAAAAGACTTCTATAGCATTAGCTGTGCTGGCAAGTTGCCAGTACCACTTGGTGCACCTGGGAAAGCCAAGGGAGACACAACACTGAGCTGGCTTACAGACTTTCAAAAAATAGAGAAAACTAAATATAACGGAGTAGATGTGAGAGCACCTTTGAAGGCATGAAAAGTTTTAAGCTATTCAAATCCTCAAAGATGTTTTCAACCCACACAATTCCTTTAATCATTATTCTGAAAATCATGCATTTGGCCCCTGCTTGAAAACTCAGTTTTCTTCATTCTTTCAATAGCATGGTCTGGAAGAATGCCTTTGGCACATCTTTATTATATTGTAATATTTTGTTACCTTCTGACATATATGTATATATAAATATTTCCTGCCATGAACTAAGCTTACAAATTCTGCTTGAGTTCGTAAAAAGGTATCCTATCATCCATCACACCTTCAGCAGAGTATGCTCACACAAGCAAAAAGCTGCCCCTGAGATAGATCAAGCCCCTCTGAGGGGGCTGCAATACACTGCCACTCATACAGCCAAATCTACACTCCCTGTGGGGACTCACAGCTCAGAGAGTCCCCAGCTCCTCATGGAGACCCCCCTGCTTGTTCTTCTCCTAGCAGCTGGCTCACAGTCCTCATCTTGCGCCACCTCATTACAGGTGAGAAAGCTCAGATAGCAGCTGGGGAGGCTGTGAGCTTGAATTGGTTGGACATGGGGGACACATCCTCTGGGACCCCAAAGTCCTGCAGCCCTCTCTGTACTTATCAGAGAGAGCTTTTGCCCTGTAGCAATATCGACAAGGCAAAACCTTGGCTCCACACTTGCTCAGTGGGGAACTCAAGTGGAGGATCCTCTGATTTAACCAAGAGGGAAGATCCCAACTCCTTAAAAGCATGTTTTCAGCAATTTTGCTGAGATGCAGACTCTGATCCAAAAGCCCAGCCTTGTCAGAGAAACAAGTGTTTGGCAGTCACCTGCTGCTGGGAGAAGCCAGGGCTCTGCAAACAGCCTGCTGTATAGCACCTTGGACACCAGCAAGTCCCTGACACATACTCTGAAAAGCCTTCTGAAAGTGACTGCCATGGATGGTAGGAAATAGCTTGGTTATATCAAAAAGAACATCCGCTTTCCCTACTGTGAACAGCGCAAAATCCAGCCTTCAGCAATATGTGGTAGGCTGCAAGAACTGCTTTTTTCATGAGAAGAGAGGGGAAAGATCTCCCTAACACAGTTCAGAAGGCACTAGAAAAAGCAAATGCTGCATCTGTAAAGCTCACCTTAATGATGTGTGCGTATGTCACAAATGTCTCTGCTGTAGATAGTAGCACATTCTACTTTCAGAGGAGCATTTTAGATCACTGTAAAAGTACAAACCATGAACTACCCAGTCCTCCAGCCAGCTGTGCATCTAGAACATCTTTGAGCCTCTCCCTTGTCAGGTTTTTCCAAGAAAGTCAAGACATTCACCCCTTTCTGTCCCTTTCTGTCCCTGCAAATTGCACCTGTGGAACCAGAACAAACCTTCTCTTCCTGAGCTACTGCAAGGAGACTTGAAGTTATGAAAGATGATACCTTGAAGCTTAATAAGTGCATGCCTTCTCTTTCTTTTGTACTAAATGAGAATAATTAACAGTTCCCAGACATGCAGGTGTGGGAAAAGCATTATACGGGGAGGAGCAGCCTGAAGAAACAAGTCTAAAGAATGACACTGGTAGCAGGGCCAGGAATGGAAATGATACCCTATCCCTAAACTACTAGAACTTGGTCTACTATGAGCAGAAACTTTGGTGATGGTTAATGACACAAAGGAAAAATGCTAGCAGGTTTGGAAACAAGTATCTCAGTCTTACATGCGGAGGGTTCCAGTGTCACATTGAAAGTGCGATTCTTGAATTCACTCTTCGTGACTCCTGTATAAAACACTATATTTCCTGAAAAGTATGCAGTAGCACTGTAGAAGTTCTGGCTTTTGTTCTTGAAAGTTATAGTGACTTTAAAGTCACTACCAAGGATTGCCTTTTGTACTTGGAAGCCCATGTCAACATCCGTCTGTGGATGATACACAGTATCTTGGGTAACTTGCTTTTTAACACCATACATCACAGCAGTCTCAAGAGCCAGTCTCTCCTCATCTGAGCCTAGAAGTGAAAAAAAAATCATATTAAAAGAGAAACAGGAGTACTGTATTAGCCTAATCATCAGTCACATAGGTGCACTACCACAAGGTGGTTGAAATGAAAAGGATATTGAAGTTTCCTGTGATAAAGTTAAACTTCAGAAGAATTTCACAGCTTCCAAGTGATTTGTTCTTAAAGGTTCAAGACATACCTGATAGTTTCAGTGCTGTTAATGGAGATACAATTATTTACTCTATATGAACATCTGTCCCTCTTGTCTCAAACATCAGTAAGAAATGCTTAAACAGGTGTAAAGAAATCCCACAACTGTTCTGAATCCTTCAAGTTACTCCATGACTATTCTCTGTTTTCTCTATAGTTCGCCCAGTCTGAACCATTTCTGAGCAGCAAACAAAGCTTGTGTTCTTATCAGTGAATCTGCAGTGTTTTGGGGGCGGAGTTAGAAATAAAGAGGGCACTTCAGAATTCAGAGTTTCACTTTGGAAGTTTTTGTGGAGCTCCTTCAGTGCCAGAAGTCTGTAAACACACAGTTAGGAATTGTTTGCAGTAAATCTACCTCAGTGAGGTCTACACACCACCTTGGATTACCTTCTTGGAACTTGTACTCCTCAGTGATGTCCATCATTCCATCACTCCCAATTTCCTTGGTCACAATCAACTGCCCAACATGGGTCATGTCAATTTTTTCAATCACTTGGGCTCCATTTTTTTCTCTTCTTGAGTAAACAATATCACTGTTCACCTATAACAGTAAATAAAAAAAGGACTGAATTAAGAGGAAGGAGGGAGGGAGTAGAAGGAAAGCCTGACTCCAAACAATGATATCTTGACTTAAAGTCCTACTAATTCCTCCCATTGAAATCCCATGTTTAAAATTAGGCACATGCTACATATACCACATAGCACATGCTATTTACAGCTTCAGAACACCAACCAGTGTAAATATGGCTAGGCAAAAGAAATGAGTTCAAACCTGGGGAGCATGTTTACGCATTCTCTACACCAAAGAATGCATTTTCTACATGGAAGAGCTCTAAGCCATACAGAGGAGAATGATTCACAGATCACTGCATAGAACACTGCAGTCCATAAATTGCAGTGGAGCCCTTTTTTCTGTCTCACCTATATTCCCACCGATGTCACTCAATATACTAAATTTTTTCAGGTATGTACCTCAGCAAAGACAAAAGGAGCATCAAACTGGAAGCAAACATGACCATGTTTAACAGCTTGAACTGAAGTTGGGCCACATCTGTACATACCTGTGAAAGAAAAGAGAGTGAGCAAGAGAATGAGTAATTTTTGTAATTAAAAACATATCAAAATGTTTTAATTTCTCACATAAAAAAAAAAACCCTCAGTTTTCGTGAGCTTGTTCAATAGTTTATTAGAGTTTAGTCTCTTGACCAAGAAGTTAAAAGCTTCATTTCCATTGACAGTCTTCTAAAACACACAGCCTCAAGTCTGAAGCTACCAAATTGTTTGGTTCTGCAAATTCTAGTGTAAGCCTCAACTGCTAGATGTGCAAATAAGGCTGGTTTTGGTTAAAGCTATCATTTTGGGAGGACTCATTCAGACTATGGGTATAGAAACACCTTAAAGCAAATCTGCTTGAATGATCCTTTATGAACAGGAAAACTAAGGACTGGGAAGAAACAGCAGTGAATTTTCACTTTTTCTCTCTTGTCTAGAGCTTGCCCAGGCAGTGTACTGATGGCCCCAAAAACTGTCTGACATATAATGGAGGAGAAACACTTTGATCTGGCACAAGTACAGGTTCTTTAAAAAATGTGTAAGTGATGTTTTGGCAAGGAGATTACATCTCTTCTGCATCCAACAGGACTCTCCTCATGCAGAATTTTGTGCTCGTGCCTTGTGATCAGTGGCACAGGAAGGACATATGCAATTTATATCTCAGAACAAGAGACTCGCCCTGGCCTACCTATCATCAACTCTTCCTTTGTCACAAAGAACCAAAGCATTGTAAAGGAAGATAAGGAACATCAAGCAATGTTACCATCACTAGTTTCCTGGGGTGTCCCATCAACAACCTGCCATCCTCCGAAACCAACAGGAAGATCAGGTCTGGACATCCAAGCTTCATTCCAACAATGATAGTTCCTTATCAGGAGATGAGACCATAAAATTAAATTCTTGGAAAACAGCATAAAAAAAATAAAACAAACTCATATCTTTATGTAACACTACTGCTTCACTAAACACATTTGCCAATGTAGGGGTGAAGAAGTCTATACTTGAAAAACGATCTGTTCAGATATAACAGTTTTGCTTCTGTTAAAACCTGCAGGCCCAAATCCTTCATTGTTGTTCCTTGATTCCAACTGAGGAAGCTTTGTAATTCCCCTACTGTCTGATGAAGCAATTGTCTCTGACAAGAGCTTCCATTCCTTGGAGATTATTGAGGTACATGAAGAGATACAAAATCCCTCTTAAACCATGTCCCTAAAAGGAGCATATGATGAGAGGGTCAGAGTCTTCTATCGGTAGAGAACACCTCCAACTCAATGTGCCCACTAAGACAAACTTTGAAACTTTTTCAAGCCATCGAAGATTGCTTCACATCCAGTTGAAGATCTGCCATTGAAGATCTAGTTCATACCTAGTACAACTGAAGCTTTAGCACCATTGGTACATTTGTTTCCATGTCTCAAAACAAACATGCTTATCTGGTTTATATTAAAGGAGGCTCGTGCTGATTGATAAAATGACCCTACATAAATGTCACAAAAATATCCTCACTGGAGATTCCGTACAAAGGCTTTCCAGTGCCCCATACCAGTGAGGAGGTCAGATCTCCTAGAACATAGTTTTCCATAAAATCCACCTTAAGACCACCATAAAACCCACTGTGGGCCAAGTGCTGGCTTTGGAGCCCAGAAAAGTATGGTGAAAGGTGTGTTTATCTGAGTGCTTTACCTATGCACCCAGACTTGTAATGTCCTCACCTGGCTGCATATTCAGGAAAAAGGAAAACAAACAAGCAAAACAAACAAGCAAGCAAACAAAAACCCCCAAACCAAACTAAAGAAGAAAGCCCAAACAACTTCAGGTCTGCTCGTTTAAATCTGCCCACAATGTTTCAGAGTATTTTTAGGATGAGCAGAAAAGGCAGATCCTGTAACTTTCTTCTTGCAATATTATCAGCACTCAAGGGAAAGTATAAACAAGTAAGAAAGATCACCTAGGAAGAGAGTCTTGCTGCAAAGTATCTGAGTTGCATTACTGAAAAAAAAAAAAAGGAGGAGTATAGAAAGGGTCGATTTTGCTCGCAAATTATATATATCCCAGAGCAGATATGAATAAAATTTTATCTGTGTAGCCACTGATACAGCCCTTATTACTATGATATTAGCAACCAAAATGGGGATTGTTAAATTCTGACCATTTCATTAATAACAGGTGAAAACCAGTTGTGAAGCAGCACTGGAAGGATCTGAGGCTTGTCTAACAAGACATTTCAAAGTGAAAATGAAAGCCTGGATCAGGAAAAAGCTTGTCAGTTAGGAAAGTTAATGAAGCAGCACTACAGAAAAGGAATTATTCAAGGAAAATGACACACTCTTGGAGAATTTTTTATGTTGCTGGGAGTAGTGAATGCTGAATCATGCTTGCAGAGCCTTGCTGAGGGCTACCAGGAAATGGGGGCACATTTCATGGCAGGTGGGTTTTTGAAAGCTGTTATGCTGAGATGTGAGAGAGACAATCCCTACCCTGAAGCGCTCACCAGTTTACTTTGAATCAAACTCAGATGTGTCATTGGCTTTGTGTTCTGCAGAAGAGCAACCTGAAGAGCAGGCAGGAGGGAAGGATGAAAAAATTAAGGGGGTTAACAATGACAAAAATGACAGCTCTGCTTTGATCCTGTAACTAGATAATGCAATGTCTTATGTTTCTTTAGCCACTCTGGGAAACAGAGCCTTTCTCCCTGTTTATATTTGTACAATTTTTGGTGCAATGAGATGGGTATTTCTTTAGATCTACTGCCATGCAAACAATAAATATGCCTAATGTACAGGGAGATATTGTATATGAATGGGCAGAAAAATGTAGCTTGTTCTATACAGGCTTTAGCATGAGGTAAATGAGAGGAATGTTTCTCTCTCCAAAATGTATCAGAAACTTCTATCACTCTGATAGAAATGAGCACAACTGAGGACCTGGCTCTGTAGCCATAATTTGTTAAACTGAATTGTAGTTCTTATATTCTACAGCAAGCCTGGGACATTAAGGAAAGCAAGAATGGCTGTACCGATCAATGTGGTGACCATTAAATATTTACAGAGATAATTACGAATAGACTAAACAAAGTGATGGGGGAATTAATAAAAGATGACCAGGTGGGGTTTATGCCTTGAAGACAATTTAAGAAGGGTACTTCATATTGCTTATGAGGCAGGCACATGCTGCAACCAGCTGCTGCCCTTTCACTAACTAATGAGCACAGGCATTGGGATTGAGAGACACATTAGGAGAAATGTGAGGTGGAAGTGAAGGGGAGGGCAGAGGGCTCAGAAGGGCTCACTGCAGGGCTGGACATGGATGAACCCACCTGGGGCCTGCTGGCTTCAAACAAGTTTCTGCTGAGGTACTGATGTTGGTCTGTTCAGCCCTCACAGTAGGAGCTAGTCTTGGTTCTCATCCAATAGAAGTATTTCTTAAGTGTCTTTATATCACCATTAAGAAAGACAGGGAGGACAAAGTAAGGGGACAGAGCTGTACTGATGGACCCAAATCCGGCCAGCTTTATAAAAATAACTTTTTGCAAACTCTGTGTAATTCTGTATATGTGTTTTGCTGTGATTGTTTCCTATCCTGAGGGAGAAAATGCTCTTTAATAAAAATAAATAAATGTCAGAGGGAATCAGAGGGACCCCACACTCGGAGATTGATTAGACTAAAAATCCTGGCTCCGAGTATCTCTGAAGTCCAAGGGTATTTAAAATCTGAAGACTGAACAGCTCCAGCAGTTCAAGGCAATAGAAATGATATATTAATAAAGAAAAAATGCTCTGTTTTCAGTTTGCAGGAGTTTATAAAAAAGTGAGAAATACATTTAAAAAATCATTATGATACCTTGGACTTGTCCTTTAAAAAGAAAAAAAAAATAGAAAAGAAAGTAGTAAAAAAAATAAGATCAAGGTTTAGAAACAAGCCATTTAAGGCCTGCATGTGGACTGCCATTGGGTATTACAGAGAAATGGAGAAAAGGACACAAAGGAGAAATGAAAAGAGGTGTATGCTATATTAACTTATGCCCAAAGGGTTATGTGCACCATGTACTAATAAATACACCAGGAGGATAAAGGGATGAACAAGAGCCTTCAAAAAGTAATCAAGTCAAGAAAAAGTGAACATAACATGGGAGGCTGAGATCCTGGTTCTTCAGCTGATGTAAAACTACATACCGATTTCATGGAACACTTTCATGGACCATTTGGGAATCTGTTCTTGACATTGAATAGGACAAGTATCTCCTAAATATGGGAGATCATAGACAGAGGTCACATTCAACGCTTCACCTTGAGGAGGAGAGACTTGAAGCCCAGTAAGCCACAGATAATTTCTTCTGAACAGATAATAAAATCAATATGTACTACACTTCTCATGCCGTACAGGTGACTATAAAATTTTGAGTAGAAAGTTACAAAACTGTCTTCTCCAAAATAATAGAGCCCATCTCTTGCATCCGAGGGGGAGCTATTTTCTTAAATCTGATGATCGTGTTTCAGTAACTTGTATGATATACTGGCTTTTTAAAAATTATTATTATTTTCAGATGAACTGGATTATTTTGAAAGGTAATCTGACATAGGAAAGCTAGAAACTTGGAGAAAACTCACCAGATGGAGTCTTTTGTAGTTTTGGTGTCCACTTTCCCTTCTTCATCCAGATAGAAGTCTAACTGCAAATTGGCATTGTTATCATGGGCAGAAGAATAGTTTGTAATAACTCTTGCAGGTATTCCCAAGCACCTCAGAACTGTGGCAAAGAGAAAAGTGTAATGAGAAGGACAAATACTAGGAGATTGTGCTCACATATAGATGACAAGATGAGCAGGGAGAAATTATAAATAATGAGAATTAACAGGAAAAACCTCAGTCACTTTAACCTCCAAAATTCTTCCTGTCTGCCTTTAATATACCCTATCTGGTTCTAAAATGGCCAGCTTTCAGTATATGTAATAACATAATGGCTTAAGCTATGTCTCCATCCTCTGGCTTGTGATCTTCCAAGAAATGTGAAATACACTCAGCCTCCAGTAAGTCAGTACCATGCTAAAATGAAGAAGATTAGAAAGAGTCTTCTTTTGCTCGATTTGGAGCTTTCCTGTTTACCAGTTGCCATCAGAAGGAATCTGGAGAATGCAAAGAAAAAAGCAGAAACTGACCAATAAGAGGCGGGGTGTGGGGGAGGGTGGAGAGCTGCATTATATGCAAGAGAAATGTCAGCATTAGAGAGTCACAACAAAATGCACTACATAATTAATATTGATGGTTAGGTAATAGTGTTTTGGAGTCAATAGTTCCTTCCAATAAAGGATCTTAAGGGGAGGATCCAATCCTCTTTTCCTTCCACACACCCCACCCCAAATCTCCAAAATTTCAGAACATCACAACGTAGCTGATGACTCCATTCAACAGGTGGTAAATTGAGAAGTGTGTAAAAGCTATGGCTACTTCTGAAGTATAGGGGGCCTATCACTGGCATTCTGTACTTGTGGTGCACTCTGAGTGATAGAAACAGACATGGAGCATGGCCCCAAGGGGAGAGTAGGGCTGTGGGGTGAGACATCTGCTCAGCTTGTCCAGATGAAACTTTTTCTCTCTCAGGGAAAAAAAGTTCCGCCTTTTAGATTCAAGGGCCAACAAGCTTCTGCTCAAAGCAGAAGGTTTGAGGAAAAAGAAGATTGAAAATCCTATTTGAAAACAGTTCTGATGCTGCAATGCTGAGCAGCTCTTCCTGATACTGCTGGGTTTTGTATATTCATTAGTGTCACTACTGTGACTCCCAATAAAGAATATTCATTCATTCATTCCAAGTTACTGGATGACAAATTACCTGGATGCATCCAATACCATATGTACCTATTGATTAAACTTAATTCAAATGTCCTCCCAGGCTTCCAGCACATGAGCCTTCAGGGCTCATTGAAAATAATTTGTCTGACAATTTCAAGATTAATGGCCATTTTTCAGAATGTTTTAGCATTTTTAACATAGGACTATCCAAAGTGCACAATGTAGTGGTCACAATGATAAGACACTGGCAACTGCAAAAAAAAAAAATCAAAATACAACTCAAAACAATATTTTTAGTCCAGCATGCCTGCCCAGACCTTTGCTCTCCTCTCTTTGGAGTAGACAGTAGTCCGATATAGCAGAGGCTATGTACTAGATGGTATCTTAATTTCATAATGTTCAAACAAACATCATACTTTGGCAAACCTTGCACTACTATGTGCTGGATCTTTTATTTGACTGAATTAGCCCCTGAACTGACTAATTCTGCCCCAGATAAATGTGCTTTTCTATTTAAAACAGTAGGTCCCACGTCCCTGCTGCATAGCTCTAGTTTTACAGTGAGTGGCCTACAGGCAAAATAATGTACAGTAGTGAGTCAGGGCTGGTGACGGGTGGAAAGTAGAAGACCTGGTATGTGTGTTTGCAATCTAGAGAAAAACAGATGATGCTACTGATAGAGAATACCAGTGGATTTCTCTGGTGGAAACCAGTATGAGGCACTGAATGTATAAGACACATTTGCAAGGACCTTTTCAAACCTGCTGCATTTTGCGGAGACTCTAGAGACTCAAGGACAGACCATATGACCTTGGGTTTCTTGTGTGTGGTTTATTGCTGATACGGCCAAGAACAGAGTGAACCATTTAACGTGTGGAAGGATAGAACTCCTACCATCTCCCTCTCCTTAACAGAAAACGTGGATCAGATACATGAAAGGAAAGCAGAAAAACCTGAAAGAAGAAAAAAACTGCAGTTGTGAGAATTCTGTGCCATAAGAAGGCTAGATGGTCAGAAAAGAACTTAGTTCTGGAGGATCTTGCTGTTCTGAATAGCTTTTGAACCACCTCAGTTATCAAAAACAAGTTATGAAATTCTATTATCCAAATTGGAAGAAATTTATGCCCAGAATGATATATATGTATGCAAAATGGCTGAAAATAATGTAGAAATGTCCAAGGTTGCCTGAGGGTGAAGAACCAGTCTTGTAACATGGCATTAATTATGCAATTTCCATGTTTGCTGCAGGAGATGAGTGATTAACATCTTTCAGTTTTGTTAGAAGTATAATGCTATTCCTTAAGAGGGTAGTGCATGTGACAGTGTTGAGCAAGATGGAAAGGGGAAGGGGTTCATGGGAAGAGTTTCTATAATTTTCTCATCATGACTTAAATACAAGAACCAAAGTTTAGACCTTCATAGGTGTCTGAAAACTTCCTAATGAAAAACAGACTCCAAGTCTGCAGAAATGCCTACTGTGCCTTCCCTGGTCCTAGGCTGATCTGCACCCCTCCGCCCTCCCAGTTTGAAGAACTTCAAATGTCCATAGCGAGATCATATAGGCATAAGAAAGACTTTCTTTTTAGTGTCATAGCATCTGCTATTGGCTGTTGTCACAAGCATAGGAACTGCCTGACTGACTGCATTGACAAAGGCCACTTGACACAAGGATGCCTGGTCACTGCTCTCTGCAGAATGCACTGCTTTTACACTACAGAGTCTTCTTTGACTGCTAATACTCTGTGGTGTGTTTCAGTACATAGGCAGTGTTCATTTGGGATGATGATGTTAGCAAGTGCTAGATAATAAAAAATCAAGACCCATCCAACACTGTTCTCCCTACTGGGTTTTCAAACCTGCACTGCTTCTGCTGCTGCAGCATTGGTATTCTAGTTCAAACAAGTGTGTTTAGATTTAATTTTATAGTGCTACACAACTGATAGGCCAGGCCATCATTTTGATCTTTGTTTTGACTCATAGATTTCATAGAAAATGTTGATAGTGTTCAGTAGGTAGTGCTACCTACTTGGGGAACAGTGGGGGAACAACCCATGATACACGAGTTGCTAGCCTCCCTGGAGCAGACATACCATCACATATGACTTATTGGGCAATAGTTTCATGTTGCAGATTTGGATAATAATCCTCCTGTTAATATGACATTGCCTATGAGAAATGTGGAGCCTGATGTGAGACTAGCTTTCTCTCTCCCAGTCCCAGACGTGTCCTTTGTGACTCACTGAACATATTTGACTTAATAAAGAGTTAAGAAATTTATGTGGAAGAACAGCCAAACTGAAAAAGATGCCAAAAGTTTATTTAAAGGATGTCTATTTTAGCCATGCATTTTTAAGTATCTCTGCTATTTAGTCCTGAACATTACAGAGCCAGGAAGTATTTTAGTTACTTTAACCTGAACTCTCTCTCTTTTATGTAAGAAGTGCATAGCAGAGTGGAGTTTTTCTTACTGATACTTACATGTGTTGAAGACACCAGCAAAAACCCAGCACTGACCATATCTCACTGGTTGTCTAGAACTGTAATATTCCAAGAGAATGTCCACACTTCCCGTCCACACTGAAGGTGCAACCCCGTAAGCGTAGCTGTTGTCCCAGGATCCAGCAATCACGCCATTATTATCCCTGGAATTGATCTAAAGACAAAGGAAATGAACATGATGGATGTCAGAGATGAATAATGAAGAGCTCTTTAACCTAGTAGACAAGATATGATGGGAGAGACCAAATATAGCCAAGTTTAGGCTAGAAATAAGACAGAAATGTCTAATAATGAAGTTAAAAAATGAATAGAACAGTCTTGCCAAGGGCCTTTGTGGATTCTCCATTACTGAACAATTTTAATCAAGGTCAGATGCTTGAAAATAATGTTGAAATTAACTCACCACACTGAGTATTCATGTTGTCTGTTTAGTAAGTTTTATTAATGCTACACATGTTCATTGATAAGTATTATTAATAAACATTACCTGAAAATCAAGCCCCAGAAAAGTTACACTCAATTCTTTCCCAATGTTGTTTTACTATCAGAATCCATCCAGAGATTTTAATAAAATCACTCCTGTTTACAGGAGACTTACAGTGACTTACAGGCCACTGTTATTTTTAGAGTAAAATCTAATTTCTTCAGTCCAGCACATATAAAACAAGAAGGAATTTGCCGTGTAAGTTTTCCCTTTGTAAGATTATACAATGTGTGGAGTTTTGCTGACTAATAGCTAAATTGATAGGCATTAAGGAGTAACACATTTCCTATTTGCAATTTGAACCAAACTGGGCTGTGCGAAAAGCTCATTCACTCTGTACCTTTTAATTACGTTAAAGTGGAACAGCTACACGCCAGCCAAATAAATCACAATTCTCATTTAAGGGCTTTTGGCTGGATTAACTACTGTTTTATAATTAGGAAATCGACTTCCTCTGAACCCTAGGACTGAATAAAGATAGGTATTCAGAGACATAAGCAAGGGGTTAAGAGGTTGTGCCCATCTCACTGCTGCAGGAAGCACTCCAAGAAAAGAAGCACTTCAAGGACAGGACAGCATTTGATCTTTAATTTGTGCTACAGACCATTGTCCTCTGGCTCTCCTCTAGCTGTAAAAAGAGGATGGATGGGACAAACTACCTGTCATTCAGTCTTGGGAAGTCTCAGAAAAATCCCAGCATTGGGACACTGATCCTCTCTGGGAGTGTGTGCTCCTCCTAGACAAGCTCAGTTGCACTTTGTGGCATTTTGAGGAAGAGAGCCCCAGTCCTGGCTCTTTGAGCTACCTTGTGCTGCTGGTTACCCACAAAACAGCTTCCCACAAGCCAAAATGATGATAGTGGATCCAAACAGGAATGTGGATAGGATGTAGGCACCTCTTCATTTCTTGTTCCAGAGGTCCGGATTTTAGACAGATAAAACTCTCACTGCCCTATGGCCTAACTTTTCAGATTGCTGGATCTGGCCCACCTAGTCCTGGACTTCCACAGGTGAACTTCTTCATCTGCCTAAAGTAGTTGAGCAGCTCAAAATTTAATTTAAATAAAAATTTAACTGATGCCCATAAAGTGTGTTTTTCTGCGTATGAGGCTTCAAGGGTCCCTCTGGTAAGTATCTTCTGTCCAAAACTACCACATACCTCTGAGTTCCAATAGGTCACCTAAGTCTTATAAATCAGACACGACAACACCCAGCCTTGCAATGTCTTAAGAATTCTTTGGGGTTAGTACTGCAGTCCATGTTAAGTCTCTATCTCATCTGACATGGAAGGAATAGCTTTATCAATTATCTAAGCTGAGACCACAGTGTCACAGGGAATGCTCTCATGCCTGAAAGTGCAATGTCGAAAAGTGACTTTCCTACCAGAGAGATACCCTTCTCAGAAAAAAACAGGGGGCTGACATTGGGATTTGATCCTTAGTGGAGTGAGACTCGAGAGGTCAGAGTGGACAGTTGGTCCGGCAGATGTTGGTGTGAGCCTATCAGTGCATGAGGGCCATTTAATCCAGCCTGGTTTTGAATCAAGAGTCACTTCTGACACAACTTAGACATCTACAACATACCACTGCAGAGGCAACACGGCAAATTTTGATTGGATTTCCACGCCCAGAGAGCTCCAGTTCTGCTTTGTCCATTAAGAACAGGCAAGCATCCAGAATGTTTTCTTCAAACTAGATAAAAGGAAGGAGGGAGAGAGAGAAACATAGAGAAGGTTGAGTCACTTTTTATTGTGGAAAGCAAAGACAAAATTATTGTTCATTGTTGTTATAGTAACTAGCCAGATTCAAAAATAGCTGATCTAGTCAAGTTAAATTTCTTTATTTAAAAATACAATTTTATTCTAGAATGTTCATCCCTATTTAACAACAACAACAAAGTGTGGTTCTGTGAGAGAAAAGAAAGTATCATTTTCAATTCAGTTTCCGTCTGGGTTTGAGAAGGTTAAAATGGCAACACAGCCTTTTTGACAGCATATAAAATTTTACGTGATAACAAGAATATAATAGGAAGACATAATAATAACTACAAGAAGCTAATCTGCTCGCTAAGGACTTAATGTCCTTCACAGATTCACGACCTGATAACTTCAGATGACTCCTCTGCTCAGCTAGTGCAATACTTAAGAGCTGACCAATAAATGTTTTGCCAAAGTTAATTTTGAGAATCTGTGTTTTAAAGTAAATTTAAAATACGCTTAAAATTGGCAAGGCAAAAGCTGACTGTATGGATTAATCCTGGTATAAGAAACATAGACATCAAAAAATGCCAAGTGACCTAAAGTAGTCTTCTTCAAAAATAGAGTAAAAAGGTGCAGTTTCTTCGATCCAGCATGAACAAGCACAGGAATGAATTGAGGGCAGAGGTGCCTAAATAGACCAGAAATCATTGTCACAGAACTTGCCCTGTGATATATTTCATTTTCCTTAGGAGAAATTGCATAGCAAACCAAAATTCCTTTGTCCCCTGCAAAATGTTAAGAGAGAGGGAAATGTACATTAATAAAATGAATGTCTTCCATATACACTGAAAACACAACATTATATTAACTTTCTAGCTGTGATGGAAACTCTGCTGAGCCCTTCCCCTTAGCATGCCACAATAGAAGGCTTTATGTTCTACATACGCCATCATTTCTTAAAGATACCAGTCATACAAATAGTATTTTTGCTCTCATGCTGAGCTGCAACTAAAGGTTGCCAGGTTGATTTTGTAACTGTCTCCAACCTAGCTCAAGGTTTCTCAGCAGTTGGGGGTGATCCAAGTTTTGCCTCATGGAGAAAGATGGCTAGAGGCCAGGACAAGCTGCTGTTTTGCCAGCCTGGGGAAAGGCAGAGAAGGAGGCTGTGGGAGCCAACATGGGAGCCCTGAAGAGCCGCGAGTGTGGCTGCTCCTGAGGGGAAGCCAGAAGGGCCAGGGTGACCTCCTGGGAAGCCTACACACTCCTTGGATTCTATCTCATAGAAAGCAGGCAAGCTCTGGCAAGAGCAAAGATGGCAGAGGAGTCACTCATCATTCTCAGCCAAGTGCTGCCCAAGGAAAGCACTCTTGTTTGCTTCTGCCTAGAGCTGATTTGCCACTCACTGCTTAGGGTACTACCACGCAATGAATGCAAGCATCCTCCAAGGCAACACACCTTATCATTATCCTGCTCCTTGGGATATCCTGTCATCCATACATGCATTATTATTAACTTCTCTGCAGAAGAAGTTCAGTAGTAACATCTTATTGTGTCATTGAGCAAAACTTAATTCTCATTGTTTGGGCAAAAGGGGAAAAGGGGGTGAGTGTTTCCCAGGGAAATACCTTCTGGTATGCTATTATCCCTGAGAAACTGAATATTTGCACTGCGGACTCTCCAGTCCACTCCATTGATATATGATTCAGATAATCTCAGGTGAATGATTGCACTGTGAAGATCCTGTCTCCTAAGAAAATCCTCACAGCAGGTTATGTAAACCTTGGTTCCTTATACTCATCCCTCCTGCTTCAAGTTCACTTTTCTTCAAGTCTGGTCCAGTGATTTATCATTTTCACCAGGACCAAAATCTGCTTCCTGCACTTGAAGTCATCATCAGTGTCTAACACTTGAGTTAAATCAACAGGAAGTTTACCCTGCAAATTAGATCGTTCTCCTCTACAGTTTATGAAACTGTCAATCTGGCCAGCATTCATTGAAAGAATAAGAAATAAACAAATTGCTATTGGTGTTGTTGCCTTTCACCTTAACACCTACTGAATGACATGAATGCCAGTGAAATAATTGGAATAACAAGACAGATAAAGGAAAAGCTGTTAAGCCTAGGTACCTTATAGTACCACAGTAGTGTAGGAGACAGAGTAGACCTAATACAGCCTAAAGCCAATTTGGCTCTTCATCACTATCTGGTATTTCACAAACTCTAAAGCAAACTAAATCACTTTCCAGGTCTCAATCTTAGCGTGCAAATGCTATCTCTAAGGAGGTGGACTAGAAACAGCACACAAAAAGCACAAACCCTTGAAATGTAAGAGGAAACAAATGGCGATAGGCAGTCAGGATATAGGAGTGAACTTGAGCAAGGCAGTATAAAGCAGGCATTGTCTGTTTGGCACAGCTAAAATGGAAATAAATAAATTGGATTCAAGACCAAAAAACTTTGGCAAAGCCACCTGGAAAAGACTGCTAATGGAAAAAAAATGGCATAAGAAAATAGGCAAAGAGATTCCTTCTATATGCACACAAATTTGCACTGTAGTCTTAGTCAGACTGGCCCTTGGCGAGCATTCTCCTTTCACACTAACCTTTTTCTAACAGGTGACCTTTAAAACCATTTAAATCAAAATAAGAGGGGCTGCATCACCTTTTGCATCAGCTGAATTAGAGCTGTATTTTGTGCAGTCAGTTGCAAGCAGATGTGGTCTGATCTGACCAATGCACACGCCATAAAATTACATTTGCGCTGTAGGCTACAAAGTTAACACAGCTCAGCATGTGGACACGAGACAAGACAGCACAGAGAACTCTACCGGCCACCTGTTTAATTTTATTTTTTCTCACAAAAGAAAAAAAAAAGAAATGATCAATATAATATCCAACTTGCAACATTTCTCAACTAGAGAATTCCTCTGTGCCTAGATTTCTTCTAAAGTGAAATTTCCCCTGAAGTCCCTTTGGGCTTTCCTGAGTGACTGGCAATTTACATGTTCTAGGAAGAAAGAAAACAGACATTTTACAAGGAACACTTCCATCCTATTCATTACAGCCATGTTTCAGTTGGTCTGCTATTTTTTCTTCCTGTGTCCACTTTTTTGCCCTCCCTCCTTCTTAAACTGATGCCACTCATTGAAGACGGCAGTTGCAAGATTTACGTCCTACTCATAATCCAGTTTTGAACCATACTTTCCTTTTTAATTTACAGCTTGAGTAAAGTTTTCAACTGACCTTCTTCTAAGGATATTTTTTAGTCTAAGAATATTGCAGTGCATTGGGAAAAATCAGCAATGTAGGTTTGCCCCAATCTATCTGTATTTCTCTATATAACCATATACCTTAAACCTCTATGACTATATGTGACCTAATGCTTATTTACACTATTGTACAGGGCATACATACAATACACATGCATGTATGATATAGCCATAATATGGGACTTGCTATTCTTGCTGCTAGCATGTTCATCCACTCATACAAATGTTCTTTATCCTTAGCATCCAGAATTGCTGACTTCAGAACTGCTGAATTGAAGAATGCAGACGCATGTTTTTAATGTCTGGGAATTGCCTGCATCAGATCAAGAGCATCATGTCTACTAACTGAAAGTGAAGGAACTAGAAGGAAGCTTGTTTCTCCATCACTTTGCAGTTTGAGATGTCTGTTAAACCTATAAAAAATGAATGTTCCCATTAAAACTAGATTCCCCTGAATGTACCTGCCACACTTAGTTTGCACATGGACAAGTGATAACAAAAGGTGCACAACAGCGTGGGGGGAAATCACGCTCTCCAAGCTCAGAAAAAAATGGAATGAAAGAACATAATAAAGGGATATGAAACTGCCCTAATATCCTAGGCACAACTGTACTCTAATAAAAACAAATAGATAATGCAGTTTCTCTAAGAAGGCTTTTGTGTTAGAGAAGTGCCAGATTCATAGAAAATAAGCACCTCAGTCCATGCCATTATAGGCCACAAATTTAATATTGTTGGGCATAAATCCTTCAGCTGGTTTAAGAAGTATCTTCCACCTTCAGCCGCTTTGTCTCACTCTCCTCCACACATCTGTCACAGAGGGAATCCCAAATGTAGGAACTGAGCAAGCTGAAAGATAACTCAGGGAGAAAAAAATCAAGGCAATATTTATTCAGCTAGGTTAGCTCTCCAGTCTAATTCACTGCACAGCTACACAAACACTTGCAGGGGGAAGGAAGGACCAGGAGGGGGCATTTTTGGTCAATTTAAATGCACACCCAGCTTTGGTCTCAAGACATGATTCCATATCTCTTTATCTCAGAGGCATTTCCAGCTTATGGAATTGCCCCCCTTAATGCCTACCTTATTTAAGGGTTATTTTTAGCTTCAACAGGTTCACAGGCAGAGCTCACAAACAACTGCGCTGACACAACCAAAGAAAGGGTGCAGAGCTGGAAACTCCCTTAGGCAGCATTGCTTCAGGGAAAAAAAGGTGAAATTGTACCCTTAGATAAGGAAACAAGAGAGATATACAAGCTCAAAGAATTCTCCAGGACAAGCACACTGGAAATCCATACAGCATAAGCTTTGCAGATGTTTTTAGATGAGGGAGAGAAAGCTAAACAAGAAGCTCTGCTCTGAGACGCCATGTCTGAGAGGTGAAGAGAAAACTGGATGGATCCATGACCACAGCATTAAGAAAATTTCTTGACAGTTTCTTAATTACTCTGTTAGGAAAAAACAGTAGGTGAAATGAACCGAGTCCAAGAGTTGTCCATTGTTGCCCCCTGAGTGACAGTTAGGGCAACCTTAGCTCATTCTGATACCGCTCTTAAATGCTTTTTGTTTCTAATCCCTATACAGCAGCTTAATTTTTAAATCCTGCAGGGATTTTCAGGCTGTTTACTACTTACACATAGATTGCAGTAAAATAGGCAAGCAGCAAGTGTTTGATGTTGATGAAGACAGCAGGTCTAAGTGCATCAATACCACACTTCAACCTGATGGGGTGAATTTCTCACCAGGCTTCAGAAGGCGTGAGAGCCTGAGTATATCAAGTCCAAACAGTGCAGGGAGAAATCAACCCTCTCTCACTGTGGTGAGGAAATTTCAAACCATAGGACTAAACTGCAATTTGTTACAGGAGCTCTGTGACAAATTGACCCACAAGATGATGAGAATTATTTCTCCCAAGTTGCTAGAACTTAAAGAAGAGTCAAAAAAGAAAAAAATAACCTATTGCTGTGGTGTAGGGGAAAAATCTTTCCTCTTTTGCCGAATAGGTTTAAGGAGCTCCGCAGAGAGGGATTTGGGAGTCCTGGTTCACAACAGGATAACCATGAGTCAGCAGTGTGCCCTCGTAGCCAAGAAGGCCTGCATAGCCAAGGCCTGCGTAGCCAAGAAGGCCTGGGATCCTGGCCTGCATCAGGAGGAGCGTTGCCAGCAGGTCGAGGGAGGGGATCCTGCCCCTCTACTCAGATCTGATGAGGCTGCACCTGGAGTATTGGGTGCAGTTCTGCACTCCCCAGTACAAGAGGGACGGGGAACTTCTAGAGAGGGTCCAGTGTAGGGCCACAAAGATGATTAAGGAACTGGAGCATCTATCTTATGAGGAAAGACTAAGCGAGCAGGGCCTGTTTAGCCTAGAGAAGACTGAAAGGAGATCTGATCAATATGTGTAAGTATCTGAGGAGAGAATGTAGAGAGGATGGGGCCAAACTCTTCTTGGTGGCCACAGGCAGGACAAGGGGTTCATGTTGAAACGTAGGAAGTTCCATCTCCATGTGAGGAAGAACTTCTTTCCTCTGAGGGTGACAGAGCCCTGGAATAGGCTGCCGAGAGAGGCTGTGGAGTCTCCTTCTCTGGAGAGCTTCCAGACCGGCCTGGATGCCCCCCTATGCCACATGCTCTAGATGTCCCTGCTTGAGCGGAGGACTTGGCCTAGATGATCTCTAGAGGTCCCTTCCAACCTCAACCATTCTGTGACTCTGCCTGTATCCTGAAGAAGCAAAAATGTGGCAGAAGAAACACTGCTATCTTATGAAAACATCAGCTAATGATCATAACTTTCAACAAGTAGTCTCTTAGTGTCTCAAATGAGCCCCTAAATCAAGATCTTTAAATAGCAGATATTAGGAAATTACTGTTTTGGATTAGGCATATATCCATTTCATACAATTTTAAAATTATGTGCCTTATGTTTCTCAGGTAGACACCAATAATGCACTCCAGAGCCCACAGTCTCAACCACAGTCTGCTGTCAATTAAATTCACTTGCAGTCCTAGTGGGACCAGCCAGTGAAATTGCTAACTCACCTGACCATAACTCCAGCTTCTTAATTTTATATCGTTGACATGTCCATGGAAAATCACACCAACATCATTCAGGACATATTCTTCCCTCTCCCTCTCATCATCCAGAAATACAGCATCCTCTGCGTCAGTTTACCCAAAACATTAAAAACAGTTATTTAGTTTTGATACAGGACAGACAAAAAAAAAAA